AACCAAATCTATAATATAATAAAATACATTCTATATTTACATTTTAGCTATAATTCAATTTATCAAGTCATTCTAAATTCAATGATTTAACCATAAATATGCCAATCTCAAGAGGAGTTTGAATGAGATACATTATGGTTTTATCCTAAAGAATATGAGACCTTATATGAAGTCAATCTATTTATAAATAAACAAAGTTATAGCCTGTTTCAGCAAAAAAAAAAAAAAAAAACATTGAAAATCATTGAAAATCATTCCAAAGGCTGTTTAAGTTATATTAGAATGGCCAGCATGGGAATCTTAGCTTACAATGTTGAGATTAGAAATATCGCAATATATGTGGCCCATCTATCATATTGTATCAATGCCATATAATTATGCAGTTATTGCAGTGTGTTGCTATAAGTGAAGGACGAGAATGAGCGCACAACAACATTCACATATAAGTAATAGTATGCACTTTTTAATTGTGTTTCGTTCCTACGCAGAGACCTATGGCCTTTTAATTGTATATCATTCCTAGGCTACCCAGAGTACATGTACATTTTTTAATGGCTGTAGTTTTGTTATTTAATCTTTACAATTTTAGATCTACCGGTCTTGTTTTTAAGATTATTATGCCCAAATCTTAAAACTTAACTGCTAAACTCACTTATTTATCATACAAAACATTTCATGGGATATATTTTTCGGACTTGACAGACATATTTGTTTGTTTGTTTTGGGTTTTACGTCACATCGACACAGTTTAGGTCATATCGCGACGTTCCAGCTTTACTGGTGGAGGAAGACCTCAGGTGCCCTTTCGTGCATTATTTCAGGCACCAACGGGTACCTGAGTAGAACCACCGACGTTCCGTAAGCTAGCTGGATAGCTTCCTCACATGAAAGAATCCAAAGTCCCTGTCGGGATTCGAACCCACAGAGGTGAGGGGCAAGTGGTTTGACGTCAACGACCTTAAAGTTAACCACTCGGCCACGGACGCCCCTTGACCGACATAAACTACATGTAAAACACACCTGCAATGTCTAATAACTGATATATTGTATTGTACAGTGCTCTCAATCATCACTCAAGATAATCTAAGGCTGTCATTGAATATCGCAATATATCATCATTATTCATCATCCCATACAATATCAATACACACTTTCAAATATCGATACAAGCTAAAATTTGTTTATTTATGTTAGTGAATATACCTCTCTATTATGCCTTAATGATAAGATACGTCTTTTTTCCAGTATCTTGGCTAAACTTGAATTTAAACTCTTGTTTTAAAATGTCAGTGACAAAAATTGTTTTGGGTTTTACGTCACATCGACACAGTATAGGTCATATCGCAACGTTCCAGCTTTACTGGTGGAGGAAGACCTCAGGTGCCCTTTCGTGCATTATTTCAGGCACCAACGGGTACCTGAGTAGAACCACCGACGTTCCGTAAGCTAGCTGGATAGCTTCCTAACATGAAAGAATCCAAAGTCCCTGTCGGGATTCGAACCCACAGAGGTGAGGGGCAAGTTGTTTGAAGTCAACGACCTTAAAGTTAACCACTCGGCCACGGACGCCCCTTGACCGACATAAACTACATGTAAAACACACCTGCAATGTCTGAAATATTGTATTGTACAGTGCTCTCAATCATCACTCAAGATAATCTAAGGCTGGACATCATTGAATATCGCAATATATCATCATTATTCATCATCCCATACAATATCAATACACACTTTCAAATATCGATACAAGCTTAATTTAATTTATTTATAATGGTGAATATACCTCTCTATTATGCCTTAATGATAAGATACGTCTTTTTTCCAGTATCTTGGCTAAACTTGAATTTAAACTCTGTTTTCAAATGTCAGTGACAAAAATAACAGAAAAAATTTCTGTTTGTTTATATTACTTAAGTGTTAAAAATGTCTAATACAAGCATACATAACACCATGATTCTCATTCATAACACATATTTTAATGTTTTTCATTGTATCTACTGTCAAAGACGATACATTGTCGATAAATTTGTCTCTCGATATATCGATACAAAATTGTGCATAAATGACAGCCCTGAGATAATCCAATCACTTGGACAAATCAAGCTGTGATCACTGGTGATAACAAAGGTAAAGTCAAACATGTCTAGCGATTATTCTCTACAATATACAAATCTATAAATAAAAATATCTATGACGAAAAGACCAGGGCCGAATGTCTATGAGATGAAAAGACCAAGCCCTAAAAGTCCAGAGGGTGAAATGTCAAGGTATTTTACAGTATCATCAAAGGAATAAATTTATTTTTATAACAGAGAGAAACTGTTTTTCGGGTAGGCCCAATATACATTTTATAATGATAATTAACATTGAACACTGTTGTCAGTGTTGAATCATTGCATTGTACAGTACAGTTTGAACTGTGCATGGGACCGCACAACTGTGTAGCCTAGTCGTGTGCCTTCTATAGAACTGTCGCGATTGATTATAAAGATATTGAAAATACAAACAATCGACTTACCTTCCACTTCAGGATCGTAGCAAAGGTAGGAATTGCCTTAGTTATTTTCTACTCTATTATATGGCACCCAACTGTCAAACCTAACATACTAGTTCCGGTTGGCTCGGAACATTCCGTTAACTCCCGTAACCAGTACCATACAGTAATACACATCCAACACTTGTAGCAAATTCACTCTACAGTTATTTATATGAGAGATTCAGCGTTCGTATTATAAAACTTTCAACTCTTTTTAACAGCTTATGATTGAATCGACAGCAAAATTGCTCAATGTTTATCTGTCAACAACTCAACATGAGAAAATAGTTCGTATTCATACGCATACAGTGTTCTTAAAATACATTTGCACATAAGAAGCATTTTAAACTTTAAAATTATCTGATCTGAAAAAATACGTTTCTCAATGTTTTTTTACTTGTTGTGTTCTGTGATAGTAAGTTCACTTACATGACTTAATAATATTGGTACTATATTCATGCACGTTCTTAGGCTCGCATCGGGAGCCAGTCGGTTGAAAACAAATTGGTTCCCTTTTAAAAATTTATCGACTGCTGGCGTAGTAACATTAAAAATGTGTTTAGCAAGAATATTATGTAATTTTGTAAAAGAACGATTGAAATTTAAGTAGTTAATTGGCCAGTCAGTTTTAAAGTAGAAAGGGTAATCATGATTTCTTGAATATCATGACAAAGGCTTGGACCTATTTTGTCCAGCGTAGTCGAGATGTGTTCAAACCATAGTAAGAGATTTATATCGTAATTCCATTGGGGCACTCGCTGGCGCTTGCGCCCCAAAAAGTAGACGTAAAGTGAATGAAAAAATGTCTTTCTTTTCTGACCTTATAAGTACAAAATTCGGTCGGAAGTGCCATAGTTAACAATCTTACATGCAGGCAATATTGGAAACACATTTAGTCTATTCTTCTTTTCTTCCTCAATCAATGTCTGATTGAACCTCTTATTTCTAGAAGAACAACATGCTCCAATCTTAACACTTTTAAATGCAAGCTATAAAAAAGGTTTCTATCTATTTCTGCTAACAGAAAAACAAACGAGGATGCGTTAAAATCACTTTAGTACATTAAATGAACAACCTTACACTAAAAACATCATCGACATTCCATATTCCCTTTTGCATATATTGTGATAAAGAACAATTCGGAAAAGTGTAATCCCTCGTAAGCAATGAATACAACTAAATCACATGTGTACTCTTGTTTTTGTGTCTGTTCATGAAACCATACATCATTACTTTTTTATGCTCAAATGCAAAGAGCACATCTCTTAAACGCCAAGGGAAAAACTAACCGAAAATACCTATACAAATGCAACTATAACATTAGCACAATTTTCGTATGGTGATAATGTGAAAACAATCTTAACATTTAGAAATTAGAGGCCTTATTATTTATATCTTTATGTACATATTTATAATTTATTTTTCTAGTTTTTATCGTTTTTAATTTTTTACTTAATGAATATCAATGGGCGTTATGTTTCATCTGATCGCTTTAGTTGTTTATTGTAAAATTTTGATGTCGAATGAATAATAATGTATATTCATTTGACATCAAAATTTTTAAATTGCGACTTTCCTGCTTTAGAAGTAGTGGAAAACCCGCTCGTGCCTGAACGGGCACCTCAATACAACCACCGACGTTTCGTAAGCTGGCGGGGTAGCTATCTCACATGAAAGTAGTCAAAGTCCCTGACGAAATTCGAACCCACAACGGCGAGGGACAAGTGGTTTGAAATTAATCAATCGGCCAGGTCCGCCCCCAGAAAATAATATAAAGTTTTTAGTCCTGACAAATGTGAAATTAAAAGCGTATCAAGGAAGATAATTATTACAAATTCAAACTTAAATCATGTTAATAATAAGTTTTATGAATAAATATATACAGTGAATGATACTGATTGCAGTCAATTATAAAATTAATATATTTTTATTCTATACCTTACGTCATCCCAAAAGAATACCCCAAACGACAAGGCGTCAAAAGACATATTTAAAATGTAGGATACTTATCATAAGGTTAATTATATACAGTATTCAAATAGGAATACTGGAACAATCGAACTAGAAAAAGACCAACTAATAGGAATTATAAATACCACAAACACAACAATACTTAATGATTTTCAAGGACTAAAACAAAACTAAAGTGACAATAGAATAGAGAAAAATAGATTCGCTTAGTCTTAAAAACACCGGAAATAGTAGTACGGTTTCTGGTGAAATTACGGACACTGTATAACATAATGAAATCCTGCTTTCAATAATTTATGTTTTTCTTAACGTAACAAATGCGTATTGACTTAAAGTTTAAATAATACAGATAACATTTCACATAACATGCTTTGGTTGATAAGCTGATAAAAAGACTTCTGTTTAACGAGTGTACAAGCCGTTCCCTTGACGATTATCTTAAACAGGGACATTGTTCGATTAAAAATGTTATAGAGCGTAGTATTATTGCATCGTTTATCAAATTACTCAAACTAAACATTCATCTCCATTACAAGCAGTTGGATGTAATTATAGTAAAGATATAAACGAGGACAACCAGTTATTCGTTCAATCTTCAAAATAAAAATATGTATAAGAATAATAAAGGTAAATTTGCAGATCTGTTTTGTGATCCATGTAAATGTGATGGACAAAATCTGTCCGTGGAAGGATATTGTGTCGACTGTGAGGAATATTTGTGCAAGGACTGTTATAAAGTCCATTGCCGTCCCTCTATAACACGGCATCATGTGCTTAAAGGGAAAGAAAACATGCCGAAAAAGAAAGAGTGCAAGCCCAACATCTGTCCAATCCATGCTGAGCAGCTGGTAGAGTATTATTGCGAAGCACATGAAGATGTTTGCTGCTCTTCTTGCAAAGGATCGAGTCATGAAAAATGTGAAAGTGTTAAGCGTATCAATGACATTTTGCCCGAAATAGATATAAAGAAGGAATTTGAAAAGCTGCAAGATAACACAGAACTGTTGAGGAATGACATAAACATAACCCAATATTCCGTCCAGTCAAGCCTTAAGGCTATTACGTTGAATCATGACATAGCTAGGCATGAGATGTCATCTGTTCGACAGGATGTAAGGGAACACATTGACGAGATTGAAAGCGAACTTGACGAGGAATTGAAAGAAATTAGAGACGAAGATAAAAGAAAAATCATGTCTCATCAAAATACATGTGAAGCTATGTATTTTGATGCAAACACTATCGAATCCTATGTTCAATCTAAAATATCTAGAAATAGAACAATGGATGCATTCATATCTATGAAAATGGCACAAAGCAAAATAAGAGCAGACCACGTCGATCTAGAAAAAATCAGAATGGACAATAAAATAAAAAGATACTCGTTTACACCAGATAATGAAGTCACAAAGCTTACTTCAAAACCGTATACTTTTGGAAACTTTTCTTTCAACGAAAAAAAATCAAAAACCATTCATTTTATCAGACATCTCAATGCAATGTCTACCCATGATTCGAAGGAATGTGAGGTAACCGGATTATGCGTTATATCAGAATCACTTGTTGCAATTGATAAGGGTAACAAGACTGTGAAAATTATAGACATAAACTATGACAAAATAACAGCAAAACTATTACTAAGTTCAGTGCCTTATGACATAACAGTGATACCAGATGACAAATTAGCTGTTACTCTTCCGAAAGAAAAAAAGATTCAGTTCCTTTCACTTGCATTACCAAAGGCTGATGCAGTTACGCCTGACAAAACCCTCACTGTCACTGGAGCATGCCACGGTATAGATTTTATTCGAAATGAGAGAAAGCTTATCGTTACATATCTTAATCCAGGGATAGTTGAAATATTTGACCTCGATGGAATTGTTGACCGGAAAGTCGACTTAAATGTAAGCAATCTGAACAAGGTTTCAGTAATTCCAAATACAACACTGGCATACATTTCTAAAGAGGCAAAACAACTTTCAATACTAGAATTCAAAGACAAGCTTAAAGTTGTATGTGGAGTATCATATGGGTATCGATATCTTAATGTGCAAGGCATCGCAACCGACAAGACCGGTACTGCATACCTATGTGATGAACAGTCAGTTTATGTTACATCCAACGTTGATTTAAGCAAGAATACATTTCGTTCGAACGATGTGAAATTAGAAGAACTGGAAAGATATGACACACCGAGATACGCTCGATGCATTGCTTTTTGCGATAGAACGTTTAGACTTTACATTGGAACAACAGGAGGGAAAATAAAGGTGTACACTGTTGCCTAACAATAGACATGCTAAATCCTGAAAAAAATGCTCTGTGGTGCCCACTTGGCTGATTGCAGGTTAAGTGCAAACAAAAAGAATTGACAAAAAATATCGTGATACTCTACCTTCCGCAAACAAATAAAAAATGTTTGTAAAAAACTATTTAAAAAAACAAACACAAAGAAGTATATAAAAATAAACAACAAAACCAAACAAAAAAACTACGAATGTACAAGTTATGTTTTATTAAATGTTCTGTGTATATCTATTCAATGAAATATTATGAGACTGACAAAATTCGCTGATTTTGGATGAATTGCTCGTCGATGCACGTTGAATCCCTCCATTGACTTAACATCTTTTAATGTGAAATAACAATCAGAATTGTTTATTTATAGAACGGTGTAAGTTGTTTCACTCAGGTACAAGGGCTATCTGACGTCCTATTCTAACAGTAAAGCTAAACTGTTGCCATTGACTGTGTCTTTGTGATTTAAGAGACTCCAGTTCCTTCTCTTCCTCTAAAGGAAGATCCTTTAAGGGATTTGTAAATAGAATTAGTTATATTTTCCTTATATGTCAAGACGTTTATAAAAAAGATATAATTTCACCTTTAAATATATATGGAAATATTTAAGTATTGACAGTGATCTGAAAAAGTCTTAAACTCCATAAATACATTTTACCGATCATATTTGTAGTTTAGTATGCATTCGAAAAAATTGTAAACGCATTATTATTGATAACCCTTATTGACGAGGGACTAAGTCTATTGCAACATAATCAGTAAATTTATTTACTTTAATTTCATGTTGCAATAATTGCATAATAAAAAATCAAAGAAATGCGAGTCGTTCATTTCTCTTTTCCAGAATTACTTCTAAGTTCAGTAAACGATCTTGCGCATTTCGTTAACCCTAAAACTATTTCTGTATGTGTACACACACTTCCCTTTTCGCTGAACACAATATAGATATATAACTATATATATATAACTATAACTATAGAAGTAGAGTTTTTATACGTGATAATATGACAAATGGTACAACAGGATCATTGATTCAATTATTTGAAATGAAAATCAAAATTATTTAAAACGGTGACAGGGTGTGAGTAATGCTGTACTCTCTATTATGTCATCTGTTAACAAATTCGCAGTTTCAGTTCACAATTTCTTTATTTCCCGCTTTGGATCTCTCAATTTTCAAGAATTTGGTTCATATTATGGTTTGAACATAGATCATGTTTAAAAAATTAATAGTGTTGAAGAACGACATGTAATGTTAACTTTTATAACTGCCACATTGGGTGCTAATCAGCATGATAGATTTAACTAACTGCAGTCTTTGTGCAGTTCCTCCAGGCGCTTGTTTTTTTCGCCGATGTTTACATCGTATAACAGATGAATTAGGGGTTTTAAAGTGCATTTCGACGGATGAAAAGGCGAGATTTAAGCATAAAGTCATTCAAGCGCCTTGACCGGTATATACCGGGATATGGCATTTAGCGTGCTGCTCCAACATTTTTTTCAGTCTCGCTAAGAAGAGAGACAACTCTAATTGGAATTTAAACATGGAGACTTCTTGCTTATTTCCCCTTAATTTTAAAAATTCAGATCAGTGTTTTACAAGATTACAGATAATATTTGGATTACTAATCCTGATATCTTTTATAAGGGGAGGACCCTAGATAATGTTGGTATAACTTTTAGTCCAACCTTTTTGTATGTACATTATATTTATGCTTAAGATAATAACATATACTATAAAATATTATTTCACTGATATCTTTTATGACAAACTTTTTTATTCTATAGAGAGCTTTAAGCTAGTACATGCCTCCATGTTACATGCGATGAATGACTGATTTTGCAGTATTTGCCACCATTTCTATTGCGTGACTAACGCAGTAAGGGCATTTTTTGGAATATTTTGACTTTTGTATTGTAAATTACGTGGACTAAAGGTGACCTTTGCTTCGTTCGTAAATTGCTGTCTTTGTTCACTTAAACATACTTTACTTTTTAAATACATTTTCAAAATTTTCTTAAAAAACTGAAAAATTGGGATTAATCTGAAGACATGCTGCTTCGATAAGACTTGAGCGAGCAAATGACTTGAAAGTGACCAGTATAGAAAAAAATGACCACATAAGTGTTTTTTTCATATTTAATAATGATCACGCAAAAGGGTTCCATATTTTAGAAATACTTTCAATTGTCACTATAATTTTAGGACAAGCTTTGAGAATTGTAAAATGATATTTGCTATAATGCAATTGTCATATAAATAAAAAATGAGTAAAATGGGAGCGGTGGCCTAGTGGTTAAGGTTACTGCCTCTCAAACCAGAAATTATGGGTTCGAGCCCTACTCAGGTAACGACCATTTTTCATCATATGACACCAGTACTGGTTGGTTCCGGGAAGCGGACTCGAAAGTGATTAATATAAGTTGCAAGAACTTGTTTCGCAATCGAGCTTAAATAAATATGTTAAAACCAAATGAGTAAAATCGGACCTAAATGTTTCCTGTTACAGATTCCTGTTAAAGCGATGACTGGTAATGATTTTTATGTTTTATATAAATAATGCTTCACAAGACAAGTGTATATTTAGCTGTTTAATATATTCTTTTATCGCATCATAAATATATCAATTTCAAAATTCAAATCGTTGACTCTTTTTGAATAAGAAGTTGATGCCACTAGTCTATTGAAAGAAGGTCTGAAAATAGAAATAAATCTTTAGAAATAATTTGATAATGAAGATCAGTATGTATTTATTTCTGCAATATTTCTTAAACATACTTTATTTATCACGTGCAAAATTGATATAAGATTTCCTGCATAAACAAGGAAGAGCATGTGGTTTGCAATTCTTTGTAATACTTCGATATAAGATTTCTTTCAGTCATAGAATACAATACAAACAGTTTGCCCTTTAAATAACTTTTTAATTAACACTTTGCATGCCGGGTGAATTGTCGTGCTAAAATGTCGCTGCTTTTCATTTTTATTTCACAGTTGTAAAAAGTCTGCCAAACAGCATAGTAACTGACGGGTACTCGGCGTTTGGTCCGCAATCAAGATGTTTGAAAAGATTTTTGTTATATTATCAGTAGAATATCGGTTACTTCTAAAGAACTAAAGCACGTTTTTAGCACAGGCTTGGCTTGGAAAGTATACGTGCTAATGACCACGTCCACTTTAATTTTCTTAATTTATGATATATTTGTATGAAATTAAAGAGAAATACCCCCCCCCCCCCCCCCCCTCCAGAAAAAAAAAAAGAACGCCTGTCTGTGGTTTTTATATAATTCTTTTAAGATAATACTGAACTTAAAAACGTAATATGTAACATATTACTTGTAGTAATATAATTCATTAAAAGATCATTATGTAAAATCATGTTCATTCAATATTTATAATGTGGCCCACGTAGAAATGTATTTAATTATTGTTATGATATCTTATAGAATTTCAGTTTTGTATCAAAACATGTCTATGAAATATCTACCTTTTCCAAGGATTTACTCATTGCAACAAATATCGTTCGGATTGCAACCTCCGCACAGAGTAGTCGCAACACATGGCGCCTGGTTGGCACAACCTGGATCTTCTGGCTTACACGTATATGCATCTATAATTAGAATTAAAAGCATATGTTAACAATATAATATTTTTGACAATATTATATGTCGAAATAAAGCATATTTTGTTAATATATTTATATACACATCGCCAACAAATAATAATGCATGGTGATGTGATGGTAATGGAACCCAGTATTATCAACGTACTCTTTTTATTTTTGAATTTAATGATTTATTTTTTGTGTGAAGCAGACATATTTTGCGTGAAAATATTTAGATCATATCTTTTTAACTTCACCGTATGGACGTTCTGTTGAGAATACGTCGTCGGTAATAGAATTGCTTCGATAATAGAGTTTTTGAAGGTACGGTGCCCCACGGATTTATATTACCATAAATCCTTGGGTGCCCCTAAAGTTTAATCCTCACACTTTTCTATTTCGTAAAAACGAAATAATATTTCGTAAAAAACACAATTCGCTTCGTAATTACGAAATGTAGTTCGTTTAAAGATAATATTACTTCGTTTTAATGAACTTATGTTCTGCTCCGTGAATCAATGTTTGCATCGTCTTTGTCATATTTAAAAGCTACGAACATAATCTACAAACATTATGAATGCCACAATACATCATTGACTACACTTAAAAACAAACTTACCAACACCGAAATTGTAAACAGACGACACTGTCAAAATTCCTATTATCAGAATCAACATTACGAATTTTCCTTCCATTTTATCTCTTAAATCCCCTAGCTTTTATGAATACAAAATAATTATTCCGCAGGCGTACAATTCACTTTAAAAAATGAAAATTTCCTTGCTAAACTGTCAATGTACCATCTGGACACACGTTTAAAATGACTTCAGACATGTATTTATCTTGACATTTTCAATAATTATTGGAACAGCTGAGTTTTTTTCCATATATTAATCAGAAAAAATGATAGTAAATGTTGATAGTTAGGATTGGTATACATGTATACATGATTCACTAAATTATTCTTTTTAAGAAAAATCTGTTATGATATATGCCGTCTGTAAATTTGTTACTCTTGGGGAAAGTGAATAAAAGTTTAGTGTTGGACAGTTCTTGTTACCTTGCGTATTCATAAATACACTTAGATTTGATATATTGTGCGGCAGTGAGGTAGTAAATCATTAGAACAGGTCTGGATCCAAATGAAACTTTGACGAATGCTTCTAAGGTCTTACTCTTCACCTCTGTCGGTATAAATGTAAAAAGGCTATCAAGCTAATTTGCGAAGGAGAGTGTTTCTATTCGTGCCTGGTATAGTGCATGGAGGGGCACGTGAGGTCTTCGTCCACCAGTTAAGTTTAAAGGTCAATGTGACTTGACATTTCATCTAACCACACCCCCCCCCCCCCCAAAAAAAAACGCCCAAAAAGACAAACAAACAAACAAAATAACAATAACAAAAAAAACCACACACACACACACACACACACACCAAAGAAATTAAAGAAATTTGTTAACTTTTTATCGCATTTACAGATATCATTTACATGTATATCTGATAATCTGATCTTGTAAAACAAGAAGCTCAACAAATAACGTAATTTTATAAACATTTGAGATCTGCAATCGAAGATCGAAGCTAGCATTAAACATCGACCTGGTTCTGATTTTTTATCTCTAATTTTTCAATTTTTAATTTCAAATATTCACAGCCTGATTAAATTTCGAACCAGTTCTGTGATCGAGATATTCATTTGTTAATAAGAATATATCGTGCGATTATCATAAAAAATGTTACATAAACGGTCGAAAATCGAGCCAGCACTAATCTCAGAGCCTGATCTACGGTTGTTTAAATCTCAGAGCCTGCTCTACGGTTTTTATACAATATTGTTAAAACGGCCGAAACTCGAGCCAGCACTAATCTCAGAGCCTGATCTACGATTGTTATACAATATTGTCAAAACGGCCGAAACTCGAGCCAGCACTAATCTCAGAGCCTGATCTACGGTTGTTATACAATATTGTTAAAACGGCCGAAACTCGAGCCAGCACTAATCTCAGAGCCTGATCTACGGTTGTTATACAATACTGTTAAAACGGCCGGAAACGGAGCCAGCACTTATCTAAAAGCCTGCTCTACGATTGTTATACAATATTGTTAAAACGGTCGAAACTCGAGCCAGCACTAATTTTAGAGCCTGCTCTACGGTTATTATACAATATTGTTAAAACGGTCGAAAATCGAGCCAGCACTGATCTCAAAGCCTGCTGTCGATCGTTATACAATATTGTTAAAACGATCGAAAATCAAGCCAGTACTTATTTCAGAGCCTGCTTTACAATCGTTATACAATTTTGTTAAAACGATCGAAAATCGAGC